TAATTTTAATCAGACAAAAAGGTAATTTTAATCAGACAAAAAGGTAATTTTAATCAGACAAAAAGGTAATTTTAATCAGACAAAAAGGTAATTTTAATCAGACAAAAAGGTAATTTTAATCAGTTTCTCCTTTTAAACGTTTTAAAGGAAGTTACAATTTTGGGGTGACTGCTGTTAAGAACCGATTAAGGCTCCATACGGTGAATTGAGCGAAAGCTCTCAAAAATGAAATACCATGAAAAACCATGAAATACCATGAAATACTCGAGATATCCCAGCCGAAAAATACAATTTAAAAAAAATTTCTAAGCAAAGCCTCAAGATTCCCCGACGTCATCAAACTACCAAATCGGAGCTCAACCAGACAAAAACCGGAAAAGACAAATGCCTGAAAGACAAATGCCCGAAAGACAAATGCCTGAAAGAAGCACCTGGCCGTGTATCCCTTCGGGCAGTCGACGTTGACGGCCGCCTGAAAGAGCACCGCCCAGACGAGCCAATACGCCCTGAAGAGCGAGAACTTGTGGGTCTTCGGCGGCTGAAGCTGCAATCCCAAAATACCATTTTTTATTAACAATTTTTTTTTATTTTTTACTCTGGCAAGACTCTCTCAGATCTGTTTCGTGCCAGATAGAGTTTCGCGCCAGATTGATTTTCGTGCAGATTGATTTTCGTGTCTTGCCCACCTTCATGTCGTATCCGGAGGGGGAGAGCCACTCGAACACGAAGATCGCGAAGGCCGACACCTGGATGTACGCCAGGCCGACCAGCAGCCACGATGCGAGGTCGAAAGGCTCTGAAAGGAATTGATGTCATCTGTCAATCGATTGAAGTGATTAATGGCATGTAAATCAGCGTGCAAAACCTCTAATGCATCCCGCCGAGATGCATTTGCATTCGTGCCAGAAAAAAAAGGATCGATCGGGTGGTGCAGTCTGCGATGAGCTCATCCGCGATGAGCTCACTATACGCTCATCGTGTCTTTTCATTAGGAACGACTTTGTGACAGCAGTGCCATCTGGCGGGTGACAGCGTGCCAGATGGCGCTACTACGCCAGATTGAGACACGGTTGATTAAATTCTATTAGCCGGTCAATCGCCTCGCCACCCACATTCTTAGGGACTGGCATTAATTAGTGGCAAGACCGAGGCACTAATTAATGGCGAAATCGAGATAACATTGCTTCTATTGAGTCTTCCATTTTCTTCCGCCTTCCAATAAGCACGCATACGGCTCGACCGAGACACCCAGGATTCCCCTCGGTTTTTCGCGCCAGTTTTCATCCAAGACGATTCCCGAGGAGCAATATGCCCCTTCGATGAAAGGGTCATATAAGGGTCATATAAGGGTCATATATGACTCCGCTCCGATTTCAAAGCGATTTATTCTCCTATTGTGTATGTGCTGCTGAGCGAGATGAAAACCGATATCCACCTCCGCAGCATCCATCTCGCCGAAAGCCCCTAGCATGAGACCCACCAATTTCCAATGCCCCCACCATTACCCACCAAATGCACCACCAATGCCCCACCAACACTCCACTCATGTCCCACCAACACCCTATCAATGCCCCACCAATGCCCCACCAAAACTCACCAAGGAACGCAGTCGGCGAAATAATCCCCGTCCTCTTCGCCACCATGATGGAAATCCCCGTATGCAGATACGGGATGGAGAAATCCACCGCCTCCTCCCTCTTCGCGTTGATCTTCAGCGCCGAGAGCACCATGTCCGTCTTGTGGTTCACCAGCGCCGCCATCAGGCCGTTCCACTTCCCGTTCTGGGGGGAGGGAACAGGCGTCATTCGGCGCGACAGGCGTCATTCAATGAGCCGAATCATTAAGCGATCCTGGTTTCGCGATCGGGTTTCTCGCCTATGCAAACAGTTTCGGACTTCTGGGGAAAGGGAGATGAAGGGGAGGCCGAGGAGGAAAAGGGAGAAAAGGGGAGGCTGAGGAAAAGGGGAAAGGAAAAAGGGGAGGCTGGGGGAAATCTCCCCAAACGAGGTAAAGATGCAAATTTAGCTTCTCCTTAATGGCTCTGATTTCGTCACAAAAAATTCCCTCTCCACATCTTCAAATTCCCCAATATTCACATATATTTAAAAAATTATCTTTAAGTAAAATAAATAAAATATATATGCATTGAATATATATTAATAGGCTTTGGTAACGCTTATTACCTTTCTTCAGCCCCCGCCGTGGACCACATGTGCTGCTCCGGTTTCTGCATCGACCTGGTGGAGAAGCTGGCGAAGGACCTGG